CCCATAAGTTGCTTTTTTTTTTTAAAAAACCCAAAAGGGAAACCAGTAAGGCTCTGAAACCCAATTTTAAACCCCTTTTTTTTTTTAAACCCCCCAAATTTTGGGGGGCCGTGGGCTACTTCTTTTGTTTTCCAACTGCCAAGGATTTTTTACATGTGCAACAATACAAACGGGCGTCCGATCTCACTACCCAGAGACCAGGGGGAATTACTAGAAGTCTAAGTCCACGTGAAAAAATCTCAGCCCTTACCGGGGAGTGAACCCAGAACCTCTAGCACTCAAGGCAGACACCATGCCTCGAAACCATGCAGCCCTCCTCTATTCAGGTGTGCAGGGTAATGAGCAGGCTGATAGACTGGTTGCTGCGGCTCCTATAGGTGTGAGTTACTTTATAACAAAGCAGATGTGGTGTAGACTCTCTGTGATGAAATGGGCACACTGACAGACTAACTCAATGGTGGAGGAAAAGGTGTCTGGAAGATACTGAAACTCTGGGGGAAAACACAAGCAAACTTGTATGATGTTGCACACCTAAAGCGAATTTTATCAGAAGGCACCTAAAGTGATCTTACTTATCAAGGACGGCACACTAAGTGAATCGTATCAGAGGCAACTAAAGTTGATCTTATCAGGAAGGCACCTAAAGTGAATCTGTATCAGAGGCACATAAATTGAATCTATTATCAGGAGTCCCCTAAAGTGAATGTCCGTCCACTTCTGGATTTTAAGTCTTGTTCCGGAACTTGAGTTTTGTGTGATCTGCCTTATATCTGTATGCTGATTATTGGTTCCTGATCTCTCAGAGGCCCCCTGACTTTGAAGGAAACATCCCTAAGTGGTCAACTCTTACAACATGCTTGTTAGGAGTCAGTGGGTCAAACCCCCCCCCCCCCCCCCTCCGTAATGGGGCCCTACAACCCACATAGAAACAGATGTACCTTATGGGAAATGTTTAACCTTTTCTCTTCTGCCTTAGGGTGTATAGGGATCCTCTGATTATTGTTGTCTTTTTTGTTTGTTTGTTTCGTTTCTACTGACCTGGGATTCAGAAATACCTAATAATTTTGTTTCTATGTACTGTTCCTCTTGGGGTATAGAGGTGCCTGAAGGGTGGTGTCGAACCTCTCCTCTTCTGCCTTACGGTGTTGAGGCACTGTCCAGCAGTAAATGTGGACGTATGAATGACAGTGAGTGCACACCAGTAGAAGATGCAAAAGACCGATTTCCACATCTTTAGGCATGTTGGGCATATAGGGCTAGACCTATATTTTATAGACCAATCAACACTCCGTTGCTCATGCGGCCTTCTTCTTCTTCTCTGTTCACTGGCTGTAAGCTCTGGCGGAAAGTCCTGACTGTTCATCCCTTTTGACTTTAGCTTTGTGCCAGGGCCTGAGTTTTGCGTGTACATCTGTTTTACTGGCTTATTTATGTGCAGTTGGTTGTTTCTTGCCGCTGGGGCAGATGCACTCCGAAGGAAGTCCTAAGTTAGCCGACTCCTAGGACATGCTTGTTGGGGAGGCAATGGTTCTATTCTTCTTGGCCCCACATTGGGGCTGGATCCATGGGTGTGGGGGTGATGTGCTCAACTCCAGCCACCTTTACTTCCCCGGACTTTATTGGTCCCCATTGAAGGCTAGGTTGACCTGGAGGCCAAGGTCATTTTTGAAAAAAGGAAAGTCAAGAAGGAGAGAGGAAGTGGATGGGAAGTAACCAGCTGATAGGGAAGCCAGCACACACCTTTGCCTGCCTGTTGACAATCTCCTTGTCCAGTTTACTCAGCTCAGAATCCTTGTTGTGCTCAGCCAGTTTCTCCCGCAGCAGTAGCACATGTCTGGTCTTCTCCACCTGCGAATAGACAAACATGGACAACATTGTCACTCAGACACAAACATGGACAACATTGTAACTCAAGCACAAACATGGACAACATTGTCACTCAAGCTCAAACATGGACAACATTGTCATCACTCAGGCACAAACATGGACAACATTGTCACTCAAGCTCAAACATGGACAACATTGTCACTCAAGCTCAAACATGGACAACATTGTCACTCAAGCTCAAACATGGACAACATTGTCGTCACTCAGGCACAAACATGGACAACATTGTCACTCAAACTCAAACATGGACAACATTGTCACTCAGGCACAAAGATGGACAACATTGTCATCACTCAAGCTCAAACATGGAAAACATTGTCATCACTCAGGCACAAACATGGACAACATTGTCACTCAAGCACAAACATGGACAACATTGTCACTCAAGCTCAAACATGGATAACATTGTCATCACTCAAGCACAAACATGGACAACATTGTCACTAAAGCTCAAACATGGACAACATTGTCATCACTCAAGCTCAAACATGGACAACATTGTCGTCACTCAGGCACAAACATGGACAACATTGTCACTCAAGCACAAACATGGACAACATTGTCACTCAGGCACAAACATGGACAACATTGTCACCCAAGAACAAACGTGGACAACATTGTCACTCAAACTCAAACATGGACAACATTGTCACTCAGGCACAAACATGGACAACATTGTCATCACTCAAGCTCAAACATGGACAACATTGTCGTCACTCAGGCACAAACATGGACAACATTGTCACTCAAGCTCAAACATGGACAACATTGTCATCACTCAAGCACAAACATGGACAACATTGTCACTCAAGCACAAACATGGACAACATTGTCACTCAAGCTCAAACATGGATAACATTGTCACTCAAGCTCAAAAATGGACAAAATTGTCGTCACTCAAGCACAAACATGGACAACATTGTCACTCAGGCACAAACATGGACAACATTGTCGTCACTCAAGCACAAACATGGACAACATTGTCACTCAGGCACAAACATGGACAACATTGTCACTCAAGCACAAACATGGACAACCATTGTCACTCAAGCCCAAACATGGACAACCATTGTCACTCAAGCCCAAACATTAACAACAACGTCATTAAAGCAGCGGCAGTGTATGATCAACTTGCATGTGTAAGCGTTAGCAGGTAATGATTGCAGCTGAGAGGGTATCACGTAACAACATCCTTCTCGTCGCTTCACTGTCAAGAGAACATGCACACAGCTAGCATCGGAGTACTGGGAACTGGTAGCTTTCACATTTTACTGTTTCTTTATGTGTGGCGTAAGCATGCAGTTGGGGTTCTTTTCACTAAGTTAATATACGTAAAAGGCATTATGTGCTCACTAAATCTACTTCTGTTAGCGTATTATCTAAACTATATCTGCTTCTGTTAGCGTATTATCTAAACTATATCTGCTTCTGTTAGCGTATTATCTAAACTATATCTGCTTCTGTTAGCGTATTATCTAAACTATTTCTGCTTCTGTTAGCGTATTATCTAAACTATATCTGCTTCTGTTAGCGTATTATCTAAACTATATCTACTTCTGTTAGCGTATTATATAAACTATATCTACTTCTGTTAGCGTATTATTTAAACTATATCTACTTCTGTTAGCATAACATATCTAAACAATATCTACTTTTGTTAACAAATCATCTAAACTATATCGACTTCTGTTAATATATCATCTAAATTATATCGACTTCTGTTAATATATCATCTAAACTATATCGACTTCTGTTAATATATCATCTAAACTATATCTACTTCTGTTAATAAATCATCTAAACTATATCGACTTCTGTTAATATATCATATAAACTATATCTACTTCTGGTAATATATCATCTAAACTATATCTACTTATTTTAATATATAATCTAAACTATATCTACTTCTGTTAATATATCATCTAAACTATGTCTACTCCTGTTAATATATAATCTAAACTATATAGACTTCTGTTAATATATCATCCAAACTATGTCGACTTCTGTTAATATATCATCTAAATTATGTCTACTTCTGTTAATGTATAATGTAAACTATATCTACTTCTGTTAATGTATCATGTAAACTATATCTACTTCTGTTATTGTATCATGTAAACTATATCTACTTCTGTTAATGTATCATGTAAAATATATCTACTTCTGTTAATGTATCATGTAAACTATATCTACTTCTGTTAATGTATCATGTAAACTATATCTACTTCTGTTAACATATAATCTAGACTGTATCCACATATCATATAATCTGAACTCTACATCTGTTAACATATAATCTAAACTATGCTTTTGTTGACATTTAATCTAAACTCTATCGATATAACATATAATCTGAACTCTATATCTGCTAACATACAATCTAAACTACATCTACTTCTGTTAACATATAATCTAAATACACGACAGTTTGGCATGTGGGAGTGGTTGTTCAAACATACCATCTGCAACCTGGTCAGCTTCTCTAGCTCCCACTGGTGATCCCCCAGAAGAGAATCTCCCCTGGGTCTCCAGCCGTTCAGGTTCTCCTCCCCTCTCACATAGGTCACGGAGGTGTCCAGAACCTTCCGCTGTCGCCGCTCCGAGCCTGGCAAAGGAACACAGACTTCAGACATTGTATCCACACACACACATATATTGTGTACGCACACACACACACAGAGACAGAGAGAGAGATGGAGAGAGAGACTTCAGACATCATACCCACACACACACTTCAGACCCACACACACAGACTTCACACATCGTACACCCCCCCCCCCCCCCCACACACACAGACTTCAGACATTGTACCCACACACACACTTCAGACCCACACACACAGACTTCACACATCGTACACCCCCCCCCCCCACACACACACACACTTAGACATTGTACCCACACACACAGAAAACGATAAAGAAATAAGAAAACAGTGAATGAACAAGTTATCATGTGCTATGATGATAAGCAAGTTCTGGAGCAAGACCAAAGACCAGAAGTGGACAAACAACCAGAATCTTCCTCCTCAGTTTACAGCTGATGAAGGCTAATACAAAGATTTAGAACATTTTATTCAACCCCACACAAGATCGTACACATTTATGTGACCGTTTTAATCCAGTCTACAAACATTTAAATATACACGACAAATATCCTGTTCCTAATCATTGGCCTCGATGTCCAATCCCTCATCTCATCTCTCTTTGTCACATGTCTCCATCCCATATAGGCCCCATCTTCCTCTTTCTCTGTCCTCACTCCTGAAATATTATGTCCACCCCTCACTCCTGATCTTCTATGACAGCCCCTTATTTTCTGTCCCCATTCCTGATCTATTTCTGCCCACACTCCCTGCCCCCACTCCTGATCTATTTCTGCCCACACTCCCTGCCCCCACTCCTGATCTAATATTTCCACCTCCTCCTCTCTGTACCCAATCCTGCTTCTCTGTCTCCACCCCATTCCACTATCTATACCCTATATTCTGTCTCCATCCACTTCATGACCCCTGAAATTCACTTTCCTGTCCCCAATCTCTACCATCACTTCCACTCACACACCACTCACCTGTCTCTGAATACTGTCGCAGCAACAGCTCATAGACTCCCGACACCTTGCCACAGTCCAGGTTCTTGGTGGCACCAAAGAAGTTCTTCAGGGCCCTGAAACGGGGACTGGAGGTGGTCAGGGGAAGAAAAACCCCTTCTTTAATAACAACACCCAACACTGAATCACCACGGCAAGCAGGGATGGACTGAAAGTTTCTAGACATAGGCTAACGAAAAGTGGGGACATGCCAGAATCAACACACACTTACAAATTTGTGTGTACTGCAAAGCAAAAGAAATAAATAAGAGTAGACCATGAGGCAGACCGAAGAAAATGATGGAGAGATAATATACAGACAGGCCTATAAACACCTGTGGCCAGTAACTGCAATGAGAAGCCAACAACCAGAGATGAATGGAGGCAGGTGACAAAAGAAGAGGATGAGGAGGAGATGGAGGAAGAAAAAGAAGAAGAATAGGAAAAGGAAGAGGAGGAGGAATAGGAAGAAGAGCAGAAGAAGAAGAGGAAAAGGAGGAGCAGAGGAGATGGAGAATAAATATAGGAAGAAGAAAGAGGTAAGAAGGTGGACATGGAGAAGATGAAATATAGGAAGAAGAATGAGACGGAAGGAGGAAGGAAAGCGGGAGGAGGAAGGAAAGGAAAAGAAGAAGAGAAAACAATGAATTTACTTAGCAGACTTGACAGCCGGGAAAACACAAAGAAAGAAATTATGATACTCATTTACAAGGCAGCATCAACTTTATGAAAGTATATCAAAATACAGAACTGTAAAAACAGTTAACTTCTCGTCCTTTTTAGGATGAATTTTTTGTTATCTGAAGCCCTACTCTGGCTCTTGCCAGGGGCCGCAATATAGCCTGGCCATAAATATGGCCTAAAGGCTGAACGCGGTTTCTGGGACCTCTCCACAGTGATCCTCACCCGCATGGTGGCGCTTTGTGTCATCGAGTGTTTATTGCTTGTGTGATGTCCGTCAGTTGTCAGTCAGAACTGTAAATGATGCATTTCTTAACAAAAAAATTTGTATTTACTTCACTACTTTAAAAATGATTTCAGAAAAAAAAAATTTAAGGAAAAGAATTAAAAAAAGTAAAGGCTCTTGTAGACTGTTGACACCCTGGGATATGAAGACACGCCAAAGATAGAAGAACAGGGTACACACCAGAATAACAGGGGAAGGGTTGGACACAGGCCAAGTTTATAACACACACACACACGCACAGGCATGCACCATACCACCATGTGATTACTGATTTTAGTTGAGTTAAGAACTGACATCACAGGGGCATTCCCATGTGTGCTCTATCCTTATCTTCAGCAGCGAGCGCAGAGTTCCAATACTGATGGTACCAGTCACAATCTGGTTATATGTCCGTCTTGCTTTTCCTCTGAGTGTAGTGAGCCGGCCAGACCCTCTGGTTACACCCAGGTGCCCCATTCTCTACGAGGCCATAATAATCTTCTATCTCTACTAATTCCATTGCTTGTCTCTAAAGGACATTGACCCCATCTGCCTTGTCATGTATCAATTCACCAGCCAGTGTTGCAGATCCAGCCGATCTGTCTGCCTGTGCAGTACCCACCACACCGGCATAGCCACAACAACAACAATACAAAAGTAACTCCCTTGCACAAACATGGCACACAATAAGTAACCGAAACAAAGACAGAACAAAAAATACATGCAAATGGGATGACTTTGCATGCTGCTGAAGAACACAAGATATGGAGAAACATGATCATCAGTGCCAGTTGGCCCAACTGATGATAATGATGATGGCAGAATCATTTAATAATTTTTACTTTGATTAATTAGAATTTTTTGTTATTAGGGGAAAAAAATACCCAACAAAAATTGAGATCTCCTTTACAAAGTGTGAAACAAAAATTCTTCTTCTTCTCAGAATTCAGTGACTGTAAACTCTGGCAGAAAGTTCTGTTTGTTCGTCAATTTCCGAACTCTGATCTTGTGTTTTGCATGAATTTTTGTTCCACAGATCTGGCTTATTTGTATGCAGATTGCTGGTTCCTTGTCTCGCAGCCAGAAGCACCCTGACTTTCTGTCCGGTGACCTTTGGCCTTTCTCTTGGGTGACCTTGTTTCCTGAAGTCTAGTTGTTTCCTATTTCAGTGTCTGTTTTATAATTCTCTGTCCACTACTCCTCAAGATGTGGTCAACACATCACCAGATTCACTGTCTTATAACTGGTTGTCCAGACATTTTTCTTATTTCCTGCATTGATCATATTTAACCCTTTGGAGATGACTCGGTCGATCTAAAGGTAAAGGTAAAGTCGGAAGATGTGAACCAGCGTCATTGCACATGGTTACAAATCATAAGTGCTCTGCCACCAGTACGGACAGCTGATAAGAAACTGTCCGCCTGTGTTGCCGTCCACACCCAACTCCATAGCTACAGCGACGTTCCTCCATTTACCCCAGAGTGTCAACTCTAGAGGCTGGGTTAACCCCGGGAACCGCCCAGTTTCGAACACCGGCCGCTGGATTTGAAAGCGAATCCAATCAACGGCAAAATAGCTGGCCCGATCCGTCGGCCCTATAATAAAAATTTTGATAGGTTTTCGACCAGCCAATTAGACTGCTTCCCACTTTTCTTGCATATGTGGGATGTTCAATGATGGCTGTCTAGAAAGTTTGATGTGTTCTGTAATTTTACATCGATTTTTTGTAGAGTTATCTGTGCCCAACAATGGTGAAAAAGACTGGCATCATAGCAACCAAAATATAGTAGGGGGCAGGAAAAAGGGGTAGAACCATGTGACAGAGGTGTTTACAGGGCCTCACTACCATTTCCGTCTCAAGAGATGGAAAGGTACCAACTAACTAAAGGTAATGTAAGATCAGTGGTGAGGCACGATCAGTTTGCAGGTGTATGCATTAGCAGTTAGCAATTACACTGGAGAGGATATCATGTGATATTTTCCTCCTCTGCGATTTGTTGTTTAGAATAACCATGTGCAGCTTGTACAGTAAGTATCAGTAACTGGTAGTTTCACATGATAGTTTTTGACTCTGGCATAAGCATGCAGCGAGTTTTCTTTACAATAAGTTCAAGACATAACTGAGTAACTATTTGTAATAAATAGTAAACAGTAAAAATGGTAAACATTTGTTTCCTAGGCAATTATAGTCATATGTTTATGTTTTTTCGACGGATCAACATCATGACACACAGGTAGTAACCCATAAGTGCTCTGTTCTTCTTGTAACTCAAGTCTGAGTCTGAAGAAGCTCAGCGCAGTGCACAGGCTCTGTAGCACCGGTGAGGATCCTTAAATACTTGGGGTAGATTTTTAACTCAAAATTTTGCCCGGGCAGTGCCGTTAGGTTACTCATTTCGATTCCAACTGCCAAGGGATCTTCCACATGTGCAACAATACTCACAGGTGTTCGGTCTTACTACCCAGAGACCAGGGGGAAATTACTAGAAGTCTACATGAAAAAATCCCAGCTCTCACCGGGGTTTGATACTGGGACCTCTAGCACTCGAGGCAGACACCATGCCTTATATGCAGGCTAGACCACTGTGCAAGACACAATGCATGATAGGTGACAATGTTTAGAGAGACTGATACACAAATGTGTTGATGTAGTGACACTGTACCTGGGTGCCGAAATCTTGGTGTCGCGGGAGTGAACCACCATACACAGATCTTTGGTGATGCAGGCTGGCTGAGCGCAGTTTTCAAGCTAAAGTAAATAAACAGTAAATACATTTCGAAATTACTGACACTGGTGGAATCAGTAACAACAGAAATGAACGAACCTGCATTGTGTAAACAAAAAGAGTATGGGGCAAATTATAAGCTCCTGTGGTAACAACATGGCTATTTTGAACTTGTTGTTGTGAGATGTACAGTGTAACTAAAGAAGATTATGTGATCTGACTATTTCAGGGAAATGTGCTCATTCTGTTTTTCCTTGTATGTCGATGCAACTCTGTAGTAGCATCCTGTTTCGGAAGCTGAAATATTTTGGTAATATCAAGCGCCACGACGGATTGGAAAAAATAATAGCAGAAGGCATGGTACCAAGAAGGAGGGGCAGGGGCGGACGAACATGAAGATTGGCACAGGATATAAGTGACTCCTTGAAAATGAAAGTACATAAGGCGGGAGAGCTGGTGAGAGACAGAGTTTCTTTCAGGCAGACTGATGAGAGCGACGTTCTGCAAAGGACCTGCTACATGATGATGATGAACTCTGTAGTAACACATACGACAAGGTACAGTGAAATATGCCAGGCAATAAATTGCAAATGTCCTAGAAGTAAAGGCGGCCACGAAGATGTTGACCTCATTACCCACTCAGTGCTGATTGGTCTATAAAAATATCAGTCTATTATTATATATCAAAGTAACTCTTAGCCAGGATTATTCAACTGGTGGTCCACAGGCCTAGCAAGTGGCCCGCGGATTGCCATTTTTAGTGTATTTAAACCAGAAAGTTTGTTGTGTTCCTTTACAGGATGTTGCAGAACCAAACCAAGCATTTGTTGGCTGCTGTGGTTTTTCTAGGCGAATTTTACTTTCAGTAGTTTGCCATTGCTGCTGAACGGTCATTGCTCGGTACCACTGTCAAAACCAACGCAAGACAAATTGTCAGCAGCTGGGATCGAACTTGGCACCCCAGCATTACATAGCGCGTTGGCAACGCCTAAGCCACAGACACCAACAGTTTTAGAGTATTAATGATCTTTTATTGTTGGGTCTCGTCTTCGTGACAATCTCTATTTCCAAAACTGTGTCCCCAGAGTAAACTTCAACAGCCCTGCTCTAAGCCAAGCCTTCCTTAAGGGAAGAGGAACAAGAAGAGGAAGAGTAGAAAGAAGAGGTAGGGAAGAAAGAAAGGAGAAGCAGAGGAGCAGAAAGAACATGTGGAGGTGGAGGTAAAGGACAAAGGAGAGGAAGACAAAAGAATAAAAAAGAGGGTTTTTTAATGTAGCCCCCCAAACCCCCCCCCCTTGGCTGCTGTGGTTTTTCCCCCAAATTTAACAACTAAAAACTAAAACAAAGTTACAAAAGGACGGACTACTACCACTCCAGAACCACGCAAGACAAGGTCTGCAACTGGGACACTTTGGCTCCATAGGAAGTGACATAGCGGTTCAGAAGGCAGGAGCCTAAAGGAACTGACACCAAGCTGCTTTAAACTATTAATGAAAACTCTGCAACAGACAAGCCAATCATTTAAGGACTGAGTATGGATCGATCAGCACATTCTCTGGCATTACACCGACTCTTCTCCCTTGTCCCTGATCTCCACCTACTCATCTCCTTGTGGGATGTAATTTTTAGCTATTCTGAAGACCCACCCTGACCTGATTCCAGAGGAGTATAAACAACAAGGAGGTGGAAAAGAACTTAACCAGCTCCTATCTGAGCGTCGGTTATTTGGTCCCCCCCCCCCTTTGTGGTTTATCCCCCCCATAGTCCTCCTCTGGTGTAGTGTGTGTGTCCAACAAAAACTGTTTTAAAGTTTTTGCTACTAACCATCAGTTACTGTCCTTGTTTGTGTTCCTTTGCTCTCCGTTGGAAGTGTTTTTTTCAGTCTTTGCTGGAGTTTGTCAAGGAACTGTCCCAAGCTGCTTCAAACAGGATCTGTTCTGGTTCGCTGTGTTTCTTGTCCCTGGAGTTTTTGCTCGATTGTTGCACATTCTCTGGCTTGCCCGCTCTTCGCTGCGCTTGTCTCTGATCTTACACCTACTCATCTCCTTGGGGGAAAGCAAAACTTTGAAATTCTGAAGAAACACCCTGAACATTGCCAGGGGCCCTCCAAAGGTGATCGGGCCTGAAATATGGTGGCACTTTTGTTAGGGTTTCAATAATTCTCTTTTCATTTGCAGTCTTTCCAGCAAATATAAAATAACACTAAAATTCAGGAGAAAACTGACAAAAAACAAACACAAAGATCCACTATAACATCAAACGAACAAACGAATGAACAAACTTTATTTTCAAAGGGTTACAAATTGGGCACGCAGGCCCATCTGATATTCGGCCCTTCTGAGCACTCATTTTTCAGAGTACCAATACCTGTTATCAATAATACACGTTATAGATATAATAAAGAAAAATAAACTATAGAATAATGCATACACACGTCATGTGTACACAATCGTACACACTCACACACGCGTATACATACTCATATACAGACATACATGATACATACACACATGCATCTACATACATATACAAAAATAAAACACATACATAGACATAGATGCACAAACAGAAAACACACAAAACATACATTTATGGATATACATGCACACACACATTCCATACATACACATCTATACATGCACCCATGCATACACACATATACAATTACATGTACAGACACCAACATATGCCCACAACCACACATTTACACTTACATGAATACATACACCCACATACATTACATGCATACATACATTCACATATACCTGCATACATACACATACATGCATGCATACATTCACATATACATGCATACATACACATACATGCATACACACACATTTATACATACACTCACATCTTTACACACACACATACATACCTAAATACACACATATACACCCACATACTTACACAGCTAAATATGCATACATACATCCACCAACATGCATACATACACACATAGCTACATACATACAGGCATACATCAAAGAAAGGAGGACACCAGGAAGCACCACCTACCTGTCATCATGCTGGTACTGCAGGAAATGAGCAGGGAAAAGCCCCAGAGAGAGCACCATAGTCTCATTGTCGTAGTCATAGAACTCCTGGGTGTTTCGGATGCGTCCTGCAAGACACACCAAAATTTGCCTGAGAAACTGCTGAACATTCATCATTAAGTGCCTTGCTGACTGGCTTGGGCAATCACGCTTTTCCACAATCCGCAGCTGCGTGAATCAGTTCGTGTGTTGACACACGTCCATGCCATGATAAAAGGCTGTCAAGAATCTTCTCGCCCTGTCTTCCTCTGTCTCTTTCCACAAATCTTTACAGTCGTTACAAAATGTTCCATTATCCCTTTTCTCATACTGAAAAATGATCACTGTTCCTTTCTAATGTTTGTGATAAGTTGTCTTTGAGCACTCACCTCTTTCAAAACATCTGGGTTGCTCTTCCTAGCTGTCCAAGGAATTCTAAGAATTCTTCTGTAAAAAATACATCACTGAGGCTTCCAGAAATTGTTCAGCTTGTTTATTAATTGTCCAGGATTCACAGCCGTATATTAAAACCGGCTCTATACAGCATATGATAATTCTTTTCCAATGACATGGATTTATTGCAATTCTAGACAAAACAAAGATAAGAGAAATATTTGAACAACCAGTGTTGTCAACAGTTATCAGACTAAGAGGATGGTGATATCTTAGGCATGTATGATAATTTCTGGCTTGCAGAAATAAGAACAAGAATTGCCATGGCAAAACCAGCCTTCAACAAAATACAAAAGATTCTCATCAACAAAAAGATGTGCTGCAGTGAGAAAAAGAGTGTTAAAGTGTTATGTAGAACCTGTGTTGTTGTATACATATGAAACATGGACAATGAGCAAACAAGCTAAAAAACACTTTATCATGGCAGAAAATTGGTTTTGAAGAAAAATGCAAAGAATATCAGGAAGGAAATTTCAAAGGAGACCCCCCTTTTTCCTTCACTCATTTATGATCCTGTTGTGTCGGTACATGTCCCATAGGGCCTGCACAGTCTATTCCTCCATTCCATCCTATCCTGTGCAAGCATCAGTTCAATAGCATGGATGGAATCCAGTTCAGTAGCTTTGGCCTCTCTCATCATCTTTTTTTTTAGGCTCTCATTTAGGCGCCCTCGCCTTTTTAATCTCTTTATTTCCCATTGTAATGTCTGTTTCTCTCCCAGTCCTTGAGAAAGAGAATAGGTCTTTCTGACCTGAAATGCTATAGAAAGATTCTCAGAATATCTTGGACAAAGAAGAGGAGAAATATTGACATCTTGAAAAATCTGAACATCAAAGAAGATTGCTTAATAAACAGCATCCTGCCTCAGAAGCTGAAATATTTTGGTCATATCAAGCGCCACGACGGACTGGAAAAATGATAGCAGAAGGCACGGTACCAGGAAGGAGGGGCAGGGGCCGACCAACACAAAGGGGGTGCACAGGATATAAGTGACCATATTTAATGTCAAAGTTGAAAATAATGATGACGATAATTAAATGTAACAGCCTATCCTATTTCAAAAGTCCAGAAATGACAATGTAAGAACTTACCAACAACCAGTTCCCGCACGTCTTTCCAAGAAAAGTGAGTTCGCTTCTCATGAACGATGGTGATGCGCAGCCGGCGTTGGATTCCCTGGTGAAGCATAAAGACCCCTTTTGTAGGCATGTCCTCGGAATGGTCGACAACCACTGGAACATACCTGTAAGGAACAGAGTTTTAACCAATCAAATTAGAGTGGACTGAGTTCCTCCATTTTTGTAGTGACTAACTTGTGCCGGAGTGATTGTTGTTGATGTTGTTGTTGTTGTTATCGATCCAGCGGCGCATGAGCTTTTGCCCTCTGGCCCAATGCCATGTAGTAAAATTTGCATGTTTTCCCAAGCTGTTCTTTTCCTCCGTACAAGGTGTTCCACTTGTCTTGTCTCGGAGGGAGTAGCATTCTTATAGTCTCACTGAGTTTTGGGCACTCAAAGAGATGGTGTTCAACAGTTTCGTAGGGGAAGTTACATAGCTGGCACTCTGGGGAGTGTTGTGGTTGTATTCTGTTTAGATGTCCATTGAGTGGAGTATGTTGTGTTCTAAGTCTGAAGATGGTGGCCTGGTCCCTCCTTGTTAGATGTTTGATGCTGTCGTTAGGGTCAGGGCCAGCCATATGTCTATAAACCTCTCTACCAGTGTTTTCCCAATTTTTTTACCAATCAAATTAGAGTGGACTAAGTTCCTGCTTTTTTGTAGTGACCAATTTGTGCCGGAGTGACAGGAATCACAACAAAAACAACATAAGGAACTTACTCTCCGTTAGGTGCCAGCTCACAGATCTCAAACCAAACCAGGAGGTCACACTGTGAACGAACCGGGCTGGTGCTGGAAATGAGAGACAAACAAACACCAGATCAATCTTTGTTTGAATAAGCTACAAAAAAAAACACACTAGATCAATCTTTGTGTGAATTAGCTATGAAAGACAAACAAACACCTGATCAATCTTTGTGTGAATTAACTATGAAAGACAAACACCCGATCAATCTTTGTGTGAATTAACTATGAAAGACAAACAAACACCAGATCAATCTTTGTGTGAATTAGCTACAAAAGACAAACACCAGATCAATCTTTGTGTGAATTAGCTATGAAAGACAAACAAACACCAGATCAATCTTTGTGTGAATTAGCTATGAAAGACAAACAAACACCCGATCAATCTTTGTGTGAATTAACTATGAAAGACAAACAAACACCCGATCAATCTTTGTGTGAATTAACTATGAAAGACAAACACCCGATCAATCTTTGTGTGAATTAGCTACAAAAGACAAACACCAGATCAATCTTTGTGTGAATTAACTATGAAAGACAAACACCCGATCAATCTTTGTGTGAATTAGCTACAAAAGACAAACACCAGATCAATCAATTAGCACCCGATCAATCTTTGTGTGAATTAGCTATGAAAGACAAACACCAGATCAATCTTTGTGTGAATTAGCTATGAAAGACAAACAAACACCCGATCAATCTTTGTGTGAATTAGCTATGAAAGACAAACAAACACCCGATCAATCTTTGTGTGAATTAACTATGAAAGACAAACACACCCGATCAATCTTTGTGTGAATTAGCTACAAAAGACAAACACCAGATAATCTTTGTGTGAATTAGCTATGAAAGACAAACAAACACCAGATCAAAATTAGCTATGAAAGACAAACAAACACCCGATCAATCTTTGTGTGAATTAACTATGAAAGACAAACAAACACCCGATCAATCTTTGTGTGAATTAACTATGAAAGACAAACACCCGATCAATCTTTGTGTGAATTAGCTACAAAAGACAAACACCAGATCAATCTTTGTGTGAATTAGCTATGAAAGACAAACATACACCAGATCAATCTTTGTGTGAATTAGCTATGAAAGACAAACACTAGATCAATCTTTGTGTGAATTAGCTATGAAAGACAAACAAACACCAGATCAATCTTTGTGTGAATTAGCTATGAAAGACAAACAAACACCCGATCAATCTTTGTGTGAATTAACTATGAAAGACAAACAAACACCCGATCAATCTTTGTGTGAATTAGCTACAAAAGACAAACACCAGATCAATCTTTGTGTGAATTAGCTATGAAAGACAAACACCCGATCAATCTTTGTGTGAATTAGCTATGAAAGACAAACAAACATCCGATCAATCTTTGTGTGAATTATCTATGAAAGACAAACACTAGATCAATCTCTGTGTTTTAACTGCCAGTTTTGATAACAGATTCTTCTTCTATTTCTTCTGCTTCTTCTTCTCTGTTCACCGGCTGTAAATTCTGGCAGAAAGTCCTGGATGTTCATCCATCTGGACTTTGGCTTTGTGCCAGGGCCTGTTTGTGTGTACATCCGTTTTACTGGATTATTTGTGTGCAGTTGATTGTTCCCTGCCTCTCAGACAGATATACTATGACTTCAAAAGGTTGCCTCTAATTAGTTGACTCCTACAACATGTTTGTTGGGGAGGCTGTGTATCTGTTCTTGTTTTCCCCACAATGAGGCCTCAGAAGCCACAAAGGAAGATAACAAATTCAGGTCTTAACTCTTTGAGTCCCACGGGACGCATCATACGTTCATAGGTTCCACCTAGAAGCCCAATGAACGCATGATGCGCTGATTTTATGACTCTATTTATTACCCCCTGGGCCTGTGATGCTAAACCCCCTGGGACTCAAAAAGTTAAGGAGGCATGAATGGCAAGGGAAGTTACTCATCCTGGGCCTGGAAATGTGAACAGCACCCAAATTCTAAACAAAAGAGTGCACTATTGATTACCTGGCATATTTCCTGTTACTCATCAGGTGCATAATACAATAACAATTGAATTAAATGCCGCAAATAAATCAATCCTTCCACCTGAAACACAAAATCGGCTACATTTACAAGTAAATTCCCGTTTCTCCAAGACAAACGCAAGTTGACGAGACAGTTCAGTAAAATATGCCAAGCAATAAATTGTGCAATCTGTGATTGTGTGTCTGCTTTGCTCAAAATCAAAACGGGGAAAACATAACTTTGAGATTCGATTAAAAAAAAAAAAGGTAAGGACCCTTTTCCACGCCTTTAGGCATATAGGGCATATAGGGCTAGACCTATATTTTATAGACCAACCGGCACAAGATGGGTGTATTGTGGTCAGCATCCGGCACCCACTCAAGGCTGGGTCGATCTGGGAGCCAAGGTCATTTTTTTTGTTTAAATCCGGCTCCGCCAGGGAGCAAACCCATGACCTTCCGATCCGCAGGGGAGCATCTATCTGCTCCGCAGCGGCGACTCTCTTTAAAATTCAATACTGGAAATTAAATGTTTGACATATCCTGCAATTATTTAATCAAGTTTTGATAAAATGATAAATGTGTCAATCTTGTAAAACACCATTTAAACTTTAGCAAAACAATAAATATTTCTTAAATTTGAATTACAATTACATTTTTACGAATGGAGAAATGTGCCATCTATTATTCTTTTTTTTATTCTATACATTAAATGAACAAATTCTGTCTGTCTGTGCGTGGAATTTTTTTTTTTCAGGTAGAACTTTACTGTTGATTTTTACCCCAAAAAAAAATTCATTATTTCCACATAAGCTGTTGAGCTTACATTTTGCACACACCCGCTTGGCAGATGAAAATGCAAACGGGTGCAAACATATTTAGAAAATACAAATTTTTAATCACAACTTTTCATGCTGCAAAATGTGTATGCTTTTAAGAGTTAAAATATAAATTTTCAAGGGAATTAATACACTTTCATACATAATTAGTAAAGATTCAAAAAGACTACAGAAAAAATGCATTAACCTTTTAGAAAGGTCACTTTCCAAAGCTAAAAAGTAAAAGATAGCGACTAATAGAAGAGAAATATACATATATTTTGAAATGAAAATTTTTGATGAAGCAAATTTGATATATTTTTAGACTGTAACTCTTTGAGTCCCAAGGAACGTATCATACATTCATAGGTTCCTAACTAGAAACCCAATTAACCCAAGATGCGCCGATTTTATGCATCTTTTGACTATCCCTTAGGCTTCTGATGCTAAACACCCTGGGACTCCAAGAGTTAATGTATATTTTAAAGAAAATTAATATATTATCAAGGAAAATAATTTATTTTCAAGGAAATTAATATTCTCAAGGGAATTAATATATTTTCAAGGAAAATTTATTTTCAAGGGAATTAAGATATTTTTATTTTATTATAATTAAAGATTATAAAAATAAGCTGAAATGCATTAGCAAGCTAGAAAGTCTCTCTGCTAAAACTGAAGATAAAGTCAAAGTTATTGAATATAAGATAAGAAACACACCACCACCGTGCACAATCGAATACAGCATGCAGTATGCGAGGAATTGTTGGTCCAGGCAGTTTGTTCTGCTCTTCTTCTTCTAGTCTACACTCAGAGGAGGCCCCTGGCTTTTCCCGGGATATTTATTTTCCCGGTCCCACGTGTCCCGCCAGTCTATTGGCTGGACATCGACCTGGCTGCTTCCAGATACAAAAGATAAGTGATATTGTGTATTTGTGTAGTATTGTCTAATTTCCATGTGTGCTGATGAAGGCTCCATAGCCAAAACGTTCACATTCTGTTTGTGTGTGTTATAATGTGAAGCTTGCTGATATACTTTTCGTTCGGGTTTATATCTTTCCTTGCATGGAAGATCATCTGTGTCAGAAGTGACTGACAATTCATGAGACAGAAGGTTGTGGATAAGACATGACTACCAACACTTATAAGGCATGGACTTTCAGAAGAAAGAAGATAATAAGCCACAACTCTTGGCACACACAAAACCCATTTTATGAACTTGGCATAAATAAAAAAAATAGACCACAATTATAACCGAAGCTGTTGTCAGCAGAGTTGAATGCAGTAACATTTGTGTTGTTTTTTTCCCCACCAAACTAACAGCAACATAGGGCATGAGAGACCAAATAAGAATGGAAAGAAAAGTAGACCATGTTAATGATGGACAGAAACCCTCAAATAGGAAACACACAAACAGATACTCTCCAATACTCTAAACTCCTTGATACGCAAGCTACAGGAGCACCCAGATGAGATGAGGAGAAGTTAGATATTAAATTCTGTTAACATGCAGCTACACTTTTAGAGAACAGTTAGTTAGTTAGTAAAGTCAAGAACCCTTTCCCCGCCTTTATGCGTATAGGGTATATAGGGCTAGACCTATATTTTTATTGACCAATCAGCACAAGATGGATAATGTAGTCAGCATCTCACCGGCCGCCTTTACTTCCTGGGACTGCATCCGGTACCCACTCAAGGCTGGGTCCGACCTGGGAGCCAAGGTCATTTTTGAAAAAAGAGCGGCTCCATCAGGGAGCGAACCTAAACTTTCCGATCCGCGGCGAGCATTTAGCCGCTCCACCACAGGGACTCCAGTAAGTTAGTTAGTCGATAGATTATTATCACTGCACATCAAGCTGTTCAGTCCATAAGTGCTTGGATTCCCTCCTCAATAAATCTGGTGATGTGAAGTGGCTAGTCCTTATGTTGGTTTCTTATTCTTCTTTGGCTTCCTGAACAGTGCTCTTGTCTGGCCACACCCCTTTTCACGTGCTGCCCTTGGTCATGGTTGCAGATTCAGCCATTCACCTGGTTCTCGCAAACATCTTACTTCTCACAGAGCATTCAGTACGTCAGCCTGGTGCCACGGCTCACCTGCAAGCCTATCAGCTTGCTCATTTTCTTACACACCCGAAAATGAAACAGATCTTTGTCAGGCCTGATCGCCTCAGAGAAATCAACCACCATCTTTGGACCCTGCCCATCTCTGTATCTCCCTGAGCCGACTGGT